CAAAAGCCCCCCTCTTGCCTGGACGCCTCCCCCTACCCTGTGTCTGGCCCGATCAAGTGCCCCCTAACCAAAATCTTGAACCTGGCTCCAGAATCAGAGATGCCCCTCCCAGAAGCACAGAAATCCCCCAGGCCTCTCTCTGCTGCCCCAGTCCTGTACAGCCTTCCCAGAATTCCCCAGTGTGATAAAATTGATCCCCTATAGCTCAGGGAATTGTGTGTGTGTAGGGGGTGGGGGTGGGGCCAGAGCAGGGCAGATCCACACAAAAATCCCATCCCTCAAATTCTGCTCTCTGTCCCCCTTCCCCTGCCCTTGCCCAGAGCAGGCTGCGGCTTGGAAGGCGGCTCCCACCCCCAGCCTCATCCTTGGGTGATGGGAGATCTAGGGGGGCTTCCCTTCTCACCATATCAGAGCCCACCTCCCAAAATTGGCCACCCCCCTACTCTCATATCTGGTGTGATACAAGGCTACGAGCTTCTATGCGGATCCTCTAGTGGGCGCTAGACCATGTGGTCTTGGCTTTGGGAGTCCAGTTAGGTGGATGGAAGGGTCTTGTCTGTCCTCAGCCCGATCTGATGCCACATGGGTACAGATTCCCCCCAGCCTTGTACTCATCCTCCTCACCCCCAAGCAGGGCAGGAGACCTAGGTGATCCTGGCTCCGGGGGTTTAGTTGGGCAGACAGAGGGGTTTTATCTGTCCCCCCTCACCCCAAGACCTGATGCCACATGGGGTGAGATTGCCTCCAGCCCTTGTACCCAATCTTCCCATTCTCATCATTCCATCAACGCCCAAATGGGGCAGGAGAACCAGGTGGTCTTGTCTTTGGGGGTCCACTTGAGTGTATGGAGGGGTCTTGTTTATTCTCCTACACCCCAAGACCTGATGCTGCATGGGGAGAGATTCCCCCCAGCTTTACACCACCTCTCATCCCCATTAGCCCAGTGCCCAGTGTGGACAGAAGACCCAGGCGATCTTGGTTCTTACTGGGGGGTCCTAATTGAGGAGGGTGGGGTCAGGCACCTTTCTTGTCTGCTCTAGATCTGATGTCCCAACACTCAAGACACAGTGGGTGGAGGGGATGAGACCCGTTTTCCAGGGCTGCCTCCACCCCCTCAACGTTGATTCACTCTGACCGTCCCCGAAAACCCACATCTCCTGGGTCTTCCTCTCTTGGGTGGTGACGTCTGTGCAGCTGAGAGAATTGTCCCAGTGACCCAGGTGTTGATAACACCTCCTACCACAGGCAGCTTTTATCTCTTATTGTGGAGGTGCTAGGATGGCAGCCAGCAAGGCTGTGTGGATGGGGCCGGGCCTGGAGACCCAATCCTCTGTGAGAAAGTCCCAGAGCTCATTAAGATAGAGATGGAGGAGGGAAGAAGCTTGTCCTCTACCGAAGGAGGCACCAGGAGGACAAGGGGGACAGGCATGGTGGGCTGAGGAGCAAAGGTCAAGTCAATGTCAACCAGAGACATGCATAGGTTGGATGTCCTAGCTCGGGAATGCCCGGGAGTCTTGCCAGTGCAGTCTGAGATCGAGAGCTCCACATGGCTTCAAGGTAGAGCTAGAAGTGCCTATAAAGGTGGTGGCTGGGCTGGCCAGGACCTCAGGAGGTCGCATCTGGTCCAACCTGTAGCTGAAGGCACGGCTAGCCCCTTCTGAACCAGCCCAGACACGTGTTTGCATGACCCAGGGGCTCTCAACCTTTGTAGGCCCATCCATACTCCTCATTAGACCCTGGGACTCCCTTGGGAAAATCCCAGTTATTCGCAGCGCTAATACGGCCCTACACGCTCATGAGGGTCTGATAGTGCCCTGATGCCCTGGTTGAGAATCGTCAGCCTACCTTGTTCTTGGAAATATCTGAGGATGAAGAGTCTCCTCATCTCTGGCCTCAGTTTCCCCTGCTGCAGTCTCAGTCCATTGCTCCTTGTTCATCCTGGAGACCCCTAGTATCCCTGCAGTCCAGGCTATAGAGGGTGAATGGTGTGAGCAAGTGTTCAGTGTTGGAGAGTTAAGTGCCAATCCAGCCTAGAGGGGCTGCAGCCAGTGCCCCTGCTGGACCCCATCATTGCTCCTTGTCCTGTCCCTGCGGCCACTGAGAAGGGTCCATCTCGGTGTGGTCTGGGACTGGGGATGACTGTGATCAGATCTCCCTTCTCTTCTTTAGTCGACCCAGTTCTCCCAGCTCGTCTCCAGTAGGGAAGACCAGTTTGGCAGGGCAGGGTGAGCTCCATCTCACCCCTGTCCCCCACCCCCAGAGCTGGGGTAAAATGGTGGCTCTGGGGTCTACTAAGCCCAGGGCTTGGGGCTTTCTACTGGTCACCCGTTGGGCCATGATACTGGCTTCTCGGGAGATTGGGGTTCTCACTATTCTCTGGGATACTGGGATGTGGGTCCAGGTGACACTGGGACTCACTGGGAAGACTTGGGGTAAGGCCTTGTGGACACACACTCCACATGCCAGGCTCTGGGGCCTGTGGGTTTCCTATACTGGTCTTGGCATCTGGTTCCTGGGTCCCCTGGGAACAGTGGGTGGAGGCTGCCCTCTGGTGGCGACACCGGGTCTTAGTTTCAGGCCTGAGGCTTTTGGGGGGGGGGGGGGGGGTTGTTTTGGTGGGGGGGGGGGGGGGTCTTTTCCCTGAGGACTGTGAAGGGTCCCACTAGATTGGCCAGCAAGAGCGCCATTCTGCCCAAACGCATGTCTGCCCATCCATCCATCCACCCACCCATTCAGTCATCTATCTTTTCATCCATCCATCCACCCACACACTGACCCATCCATCTATCCATCCTTTCTATCATGTAGCCAGCCAGCCAGCCATCTGTCCCATCACCCATCTCTTCCCACTCCACCCACCCACCCACTTATCTATCCACTCACCCATTCAGCTACCTGTTTATCCACCCATTCACCCACCCATTTGTCCATCCATCTATCCATGTTTATCCATCTATCTATTCTCTATCCATCTATCCCCACTCCACCCACCCATCCATCTACCTATCCAACTATTCATCCAGCCGCTCACTCACCCACTCATTTACCTATCTATCCATCCGTCTGTCTCTCCACCCATTGATCCATACATCTAGCTATGCACCCACAAGCCCATCCATCCATCCATCCATCCACTCTGTCTACACACACACGCATCTGGCACACATGCACACACACACACACATACACAGGCATCTGTCATGCATGTGCATGCACATGCACACACACAAACCCCCCAGGCATTTGGGACACATGCACATAGACAGAATCCAGGCATCTGGCATGCACATGCACACACATACACACACACACACAACCCAGCCATCCAGGACATGCACAAACACACAAAGAACCGAGGCATCACACACACGCAGACATGGACACACATACACCGCCCCCCTTCATGCTGAGGCCACAGGGGCACAAGACACCTCCATGTAATCTCTTCGTGTGCACTCCTGCCTTCTCACCAGGATGGCACATGTGCCTGTGTGTGTGTGGGTCTTAGTCTGGGAGGAAAACAACCTTGCACATGCTTGTGCCTTCACACAAGTCCATGAGCCCTATTCAAAAACCCCTAACATGCATCCAGGTATACCCTTTGCATGCCTGGGAAAGCTCCCACTCCTGGACAATGCCCTCCTCCTGACACAAGGGTCAAAAGGGCAAAAGTCCTATCCCTCTGCAAGGGGAGGTACCACACTCTCACACATGTACCCTTGCATTAGGACTGCCTGTGCACACTCACATGGCAACTTGCACATGGATTGTGAGCATGATACCCACATGACCCCTTTGAATGCCTTGCACACCTGTGTCATGGCTAAACTAAGCTCTCCCCACCCTAATCTCTCCCTATCCCCCATCTCAGGATTTGTTCACGCTTCTGTGCTCATGATGGAGGCGTGGAAGGTGGTGGTAGAGGCAGGGGGAGAGGGGTGGGGGGAGTTCATAGCCGAGGCACTTTCCCTTTCACGGAAAGGGGGAAACCGCAAGGCAGAGCCCTTGCACAGGGGACTGGGCACCAGGGGAGCTCCCGCCCCCACCTTCCCCGGAGACTGGTTTCCCGTAAGGGAGGAAGAAGGGAGTGAAAAAGAGAGTGGCAGAGAAATGTTGAGGGGGTTCACCTGGAAATGGGTGAGTACAGTCTCTGGAGAAGCCCTGGTGTGTGTATGTGTTGGATTCCTGGGGTGTGCATGGGGGACCTGGGTGTTCTGTATGGGTGAAAGTGTAGGTGGGGGCTATACTGTTTTTGTGTAGAGGGGGTGTGTGTGTGTGTCCCGAATGTCTGGGTTCTATGTGTATATGTATCCCAGATGCTGTAGTCCTGTGTATGTGTGTCCTGGGTGCCTGGGTTTTGTGTGTGTGCAGGGTGTGTTTTGTTGTTTATGTCTGGGGGGTTGTTTGCATTGTGTATCCTGGGCTCCTGGGTTCTGCGTGCGTATGTGCTTGTGTGCTGGATGCCTGGGGGCGGTGTGGGGTGGGGAGGCAGATGCTTGTGTGGGTATGTGTGTAGGTGGGGGCTGTATTGTTTCTGCATAGGGGTTGTGTGCACACCGTGTGTGTGTTTGTACCAGACACCTGGGTTTTGTGCATGCATGTGTTGCATGCTTGGGTGTGTGTGACAACCAGATGCCTAGGTTCTACATGCGTGTATGTATGTCCTGGATGCTTGGGGGGTGTGTGTGTATGGTATTGGGAGGGACAGGCTCTTTGTATGTGGCAGCTGCAGAGAGACAGAAACGTCTGCACGAGAAGAGGAACTGAAACCCCCCAGCACTGGTGACCCGCCTGTGGCTGCCCAGGGTGGGGGTAGGAAAGAGCACGGACACGGCTGGGTGCAATGGGGACAAGAGCTGGGGCTGGCTGGGGGAGGGGGCGGACAGGGCTGGGTGTAATGGGGACAGAAGCTGAAGCTGGGGCTGGCTCCGGGGTTTTGTGCTCACTTAGCTTCACCTTCCCCTTCCCCTGCCTGTTCCCAAGGTTGGGAAGAACCCAGGAGTCTTGACCCCTGCTATCCTGTGATCACCCATGTGGTGCGTCAGGTGGTTTCCAGGGGCCGAAGTGGGATCCTCTTCCCCCACAACATGCCCCCTCCATTTATCCAGCCATCCACACGTCTGTCTATCCACATCCATCCATCCATCCATCCATCCATCCACGTCCATCTGTCCGTCCATAGTTCCACCCCTCCATCCATCCATGGTTCCATCTCTCCATCCACTGGACCATCCATCTGTGTCCATCCTGACTTCCATCCATCCGTCTGTCCTTCGGTTCATCCACGCTTCCATCCCTCCATCCAGCCATCAATCTACCCACTCCATCTGTCCATGCATCCTCCCATCTCTGCCACATGTGCATTCATCCCTTCTGCTGTCCATTTATCTATCCATCCATCTGAACCTTCATCCACCCATCCATCCTAGTCAGTCATGCTTTTATCTGTTCATCTGTCCATCCACTCATGCTTCCACCCCTTCCTTCTGTGCATCTATCCATGCAACTCTCCATCCTGTCCCTCTGCCTCTCTATCCATCCATCTGTCCATTCTTTCATCCATTTATCTATCCATGAGTGTGTCCATCTGTCTGTATGTCCATCCATCTGTACATCCATCTGTCTATCCATGCATAGATCTATCCATCTGTCTGTCTGTCTGTGTCTGTTCATCCATCTACCTGCACACCCTGTCCATCCATCCATCCTGTTCATCCAGGCTTCCACATGTGCATTCCTTTATCCATCCATCCGTTTATCTGACCACCTGGAAATCCATCCATCCAACTGTCCATCTGTCAGTCCATACACACTTTCATTCACCTGTCTGTCCATACATTTGTACATCCCCCATCCATCCATAAATCTGCCTATATATATATACTCACGCATACACACACACATATATACACATACATACCCACATGCACCCACATATATCCATGTACACACACATATAAAGTTACATCCACACATACATACCCACATCCACACATATCCATGTACACACATATCGACAGATAGATAGCTAGACGCGCACACATGCGCGCATGCGCACACACACACACACACGCACAGAACAAGCCCTACAATTTTTAAAGTGTAAAAAAAAAAAAAAGTCTCTTTTTAAATTAAACTTGCTCTTTTTCTATTTTCCAAGGGGAGAAAAAAAAAGAGAAGCCCCAGGAATGGTAAGTATAGTGGAACCGCAAGGAAAAGGGTCTTAAAAAAAAATTAAACTCACTATTTTTATATATGTAAAAAAAAGAAAAAAGAAGCAAATCCGGAATCTTTAGGGTGTTGCTACCTGAAGAAAAGTCTCTTTTGTAAAGGAAACTCCCCATCTGAGCATATTGGAAAGGGTGGTTTTGAAAGGGAAATTCTCCTTTTTCAGACTGGAAATTCACTATCTTTGTACTTATAAAAAAAAAGAAAGGAATCGCTAAAGTCTAAAGGAAACAATTTGGAGTGAAAGGTGCAATTTTATAGCTGTAAATGGTATAAATGTTTGAAAACGGCATTGTTTAAAGTGCCCAGGAAACATTTTTAGATTGAACCTGGCTATTTTTTATGCCTTTAAAATGACACTATTAAAGTACCAAGGAAACATTTGAAGATTGAAACGGGCTATTTTTGTACCTTTAACAACAGCACCGTTAAAGTGTAAAAGAAACATTTTAAATTGAAACTTCCTACATTAACATTGCCATTGTTCAAGGTATACAGGTTGGAAGTTGCAATCTAAAAATGTTTTCTTGACACTTAACCCTGCCATTGTTAAAGGTACAAAAAATGTCAAGGTAACATTTTTTTAAGATTGAAGCTCGCTATTTTAACACCACCATTTTTAAATGCATAAATCTAGCAAGTTTTGATCTAAACTTTTCCCTTTTAATTTCTGGGTTGAAACTTGCTATTTTGGGATGTTATAAAATGGCGTCATTAAAATGAACAGGAACATTTTTTAGA